AATAAAATCAATATTAAATTAATGCTCAGTCCTCAGTCCGTCACCTGATTTGTTGTATTTTAGAGACTTTAATAGAATAAATATGAAAAATTTAGCAGCTGAAGCTTCCGCTCTTCCTTGAATAATTGCTGGTTTTTAGCCGATATTAATAAAAAGGTGCAACATTTCTCCAACCTTGTAAATTATTTATTTGACAAATATTTACCCATAAGAAAAAAATTAACAATAACAAGCAACCCTGGTTTACAAAAGAGGTGCTTAGGGCAATCAATGCAATGAAAATTGGGTTGCTTTTAAAGTTCTACGTAATAAAGCCACTTCCATTACGCGACAAGCCAAGAAAAGCTATTACCAAAGCTCCCTCCTAAGGTATTGTGGAACAACTTAAAGCATCTTCGGGTAAAATCTAGCTCAATATCGGAATGCCAACTTGACGTAAATGTAATGAGTTACAACTTTTCTATAAGAAATTCAGAAAGTAAAGCTTTTGAACCTGACCGTGATCTTTTGTGTGATAAGGGAAGCAAATTTGATTATAATTATAAATTTTTCCTTAACGTCGCTAACGTTTCCGGACAGTTGGAAAGTAGCTAATGTAATACCTGTCGCGAAAAAATGCAATGCAATCTTGCCTTCAGACTATCGTCCTATAAGTATTCTGCCGTCATTATCGACAGTTTTTGAAAAACTAATTTTAAGCCTGATTATGGGTTATATGTCTGAAAAGTGCCTTAATTCTGAATACCAATCAGGTTTCCGGCGGGGGCATAGCTGTTCTACTGCAATGCTTAAAGTTCTTGAGGATATAAGGCCACACTTCGATAAAGGACACCTCACAATCCTCACTTTATTAGATTTCTCAAAAGTGTTTGACACTGTGTGTCACAATATTTACTCGAAAAGCTCGAAAAATATTTCGGTTTCGGCAATAATGCACAAAAATTAATGGAAAGTTATCTGTCAAATAGATGGCAGAGAGTAGTATCGAAAGGATCCCGCTCTGAGTTATCGGCAATAACATCTAATGAAGACTTAGAATCAATTTCCCTATGGTCAAAGCCAAACAGGCTAAACTTAAATGCATCTAAAACGCAAGCTCTAGCCTTATCCCATGTGCAATATAATCTTGAAGACGTCTCGCCAATTATCTTGAATGGCTGCGCTATAAAATATGAGAGTGTTGTTAAAACCCTAGGTTTTAAACTTAATGGGGCTCTTACATGTAAGGACCATGTCAATACGTCAGTAAGCAAGTCGTACTTTGTGTTGAGGCAGCTATGGAGAACTGTGGCATATATTCCGCAAACTACTAAACTGAAGCTCGTAAATGCCTTAATAGTGCCTATAATATCTTACCAAGAATTAGTCTATGGTCATTTAGACAAAGCTTCCCTGCATAAGTTACAATTAGTTCTTAATAACGCTGCTAGATATATTTACTTAAAACGGAAGTTTGACCACATTTCGGAGTTCTCAATAAATAATCTTGGTTGTAGCTTGTCAAAATTTTTCGGCCGTCGTTCAGTGCTATTTATACATAGGCTAATCTACAGCCGATGCCCGAAATATCTTTTATCTAAATTAAAATTTGCACAGTCCAGTCGCACAAGTAACCTCATTGTACCACAGTCCAAGTACTCAGTAACGTCAGAAATGTTTTTCGTTAGAGCCGTACAATTATGGAACCTCTTACCAGTTGAATTAAAATTGGAATGCAATCCAAGGCGCTTCAAATTTGCAGTTCACTCTCTCTTTCTATTCTAACCTTCTAGTCGATTACTTTCAACCCTTCATGTAACTCTTTTTCCCTTCCCCTAAATGTATCTTGTTTTATTTTTAATTTTCTTTTAAGAATTTGTATACATAGATTTAAGTTTTCAAACATGTATACTACATATCTGCACTGTAAATGACTAGGTCTTATTTGTGTGTATCTGAATAAAATGAAATGAAATGAAAATAGTGGGTTCCTAGCCACAAGAGCATTATGGGCAACGAAATAGCTGATGAGATTGCCATAAGTGCCATCCGTCTCGCTAGCGAACGAGTACAGGAAATACAAAAGTCTCTAAAAACGATCTATAATGAAATTTCCGAAAGAGCTAGGTGCCAGATCAGGGTGAGATGGAACGCATTAGCGACATGCAAAACCACCAAGATCATGTGCAATAGCAGCAAAAGAAACACCCATTTCTTGCTTATACGATCACGTAGGGACTGCAGGACAGTTGTTGGTCTAATGACGGGCCACAACCTACTGGCATACCATGCAAGCAGAATGGGCATTAGTAGCAGTAACACATTCAGGAAATGCAGGGAGGAAGGCATGAGTGAGACGTTAGAACACCTCTTCTGTTTCCGTCCGGCCTTAGCTAAAACTCGTCTTAGATATCTCGGAGCTTCGCAGTTCAAAGGACTAGAGGAGGCTTCAAAATCGGATATTACGGCTGTCTTGAACTCCGCGAAAAGCGTTGACGTCGTATACGACGACTACTTTAGATCGCAGTAAAACGGACCTCCATCTGGCACTACAAAGGACCAACAGGTAAGACGCATCAGCCGGCCAGTGTAACCTAACTCAACCTAAATTTGTATATGAGAATTGATGTCGGTTGTGTTTTTGCTTAAAAATTACTTGTTTAAAAAAAGTTCTATAAACAAAAGATGCGCTCAACTATCAAAAGTAATAAAAAATGTTCAAAAAGAGTTTTAGATGGTGATTTTTCACGATTGCCTAATTTTTTTAATATTTCGAATACCGAAAAAATTAACTGAAGGGTAATTTCATGTAAAAGGGGAAACCGACATAAATTTATATATGCCACTATTTAAGTAGTGACCTCTTTTGAGATGACTACATTTCATTTATCTGTTGAAAGATATTAAAAAAAACACAAAAAGTTGTAATTTTTGTCTACGGAAACTTTTATTTCATTCATAATTACTTTACACCAGTCACAAGGAGATGTCCCACCAAGCACAACATTAAATATATATATATTTTTTTTTATATGAAGATTATATAAACCTTATTTTAATTGAAATCGAAAGCGTATAATTCATACTTTACAACAAAGTCACATTCATTCAAATGACAGTTACATAAACCTAAGAAATCGTTTAGTATTTTTGTTAAAGCAATTTTCAATAAGTTCTGACGACATAGTTACAATTCACAATTGATCACATTCTGGAGTAAAATTTCCCACCAGTCACAATGGAATAACCCTGAACTTGTATTTTTGTTATGTAGCTCATTTTCGTGGAACGAATTCAAAGTTGGCAAATTAAATCTACGAATCCTTGTTAAGTACATATCAATGGTTAATTCTTTACGGCTGTAAAGTGTAAAAAAGTACAGTAAGTGAGAGTATGAACCCCAGATCCCGCCCCTTGTGTGCGCTAATGATCGGAATTCTATGAAATTTTGATATGTAGAGAATATGAAAGAATATGCAAAATATACGCAAATAATATGCAATCAATACTGTTACGATTATCCTCGACTACCTGTCGGATTTACCGAAAATCTCTAGGTTCGTATCGCTGGATTGTTAAATAAACGCTCATGATGACCAAATTACAAATTAATTAACAACACTTGTTAAGGGAATTAAAATACTTTAAAAAACTTGCTAACACTATTGATCTCTGTGTTACAACTTGACTTGTAGCTTGCTGATTCGCAACCGACCTGTCTTGTAGCTTGCTGACTTGCAACTCTGCTGTAGTATACCTGCGATCGCGCTTATGGCAACTCTAGAACGTTCTGAAGTTTGTCGCTCATTCTCTCGCTGTTCGCAGCATTCATTTACTTGACGTTTCTCTGTCGAATATTCTATGTTATTCCTCGAACATTCTGCCATTTTCTTGCTGTCCACGTAATGATCATCCCGATCAGACACACTTGCTGCAAGCCTTTCCAACTGGACCCCGTTCATCTTAGTTCCCGGTCTATTAGCGGTCTGGATTCGATACATTGCGTCATTCAGCCGTTTGACAATCTTATGCCGACCTTTCCAGTTACGTCGTTGTTTGTAGGTGCAGCCTTGCTTCCGCTGCGGCTTGTACATCAACACAAAATCGCATTCCTGGAAACCCTCTAGGCTGGATGCGTTACTGGACATTGCTTCCGGTTTATTTTCGGGAGTGCACCATCTCACATGGCCGTGCTTCTGCCGGCCACTGGTGGTGACCAGACCATGTCTCTTCTCATGGGCACCATTTTCGCCAGATTTACGCCGCTTCCTTTGGCCATGACTACCACGCTTCGATCCTTGAGCTGCACTGAAACTTTAGCAATTTTTTCCTTGCATGAAGTTTTCTTAAATCTTAAGATTCAACTTCAGTTTTATGAATATTTCTTGAAAGTTTTGTCAAGAAAGCTTTAGCAAGTTTTTCTTTAGGCTTATGTAGCTTTATAAAATCTTAAGATTTGACTTAAGTTTTCTGAATACAATTAATAAACGAAAAAGCTATTTAATACTTATATATGTAGGTGTTTATGGATATTGGATGCTTTTGATGTACTCATTGCAAATTACTTTGGTGCTTTTCAAGTATTATGTAGTTAAGCGGAGTTTTAGTAATTTTTAACCCCTCCCTGCCCCTTGCCGGAAAATGTAAGCAAAAATGTTACCCCCTCCCTCTTTTATGCTTTGGTAATAATTGGTATTTTTTAATCTGTTAAACTTATAAAAAATTTTTAAGAACATTTGATATTTGTTCAAATTAAAATCTACTAAATTTTTCAGAAAAAGCAGAAAGGTAATACTGCCCTGGTTCTTGTCACCAAAAATACCCATCGACACCATTGGGCGTTACGTAATACTTGAAACACCGCTTACCATAAAATCGAAAACGCTTTTCCGAAACAAAATTTGTATTTAAGGCGCAGATAAATTTTAAAACCTACTTGAGAAATAGGCGATTTCTCAGCTAAGCCCACAGTTTTAGAACTCTCCTTTTCTATTTATAAGTAAGATTATGTACATATTTACCTCAGTATTAATACATGACACTTTAGGTTGTATACTGCAGCCGCCATTATTAATAGAGCACTCATCAATATCTGAGCAAGAAATTCCATTTCCGGTGTAGCCAGTCGGGCATGGATTGCACTTAAAACTACCTGGTAAATTTGTGCATTCACTGTGGCATGGATTAGTTGTATCATTACACTCGTTTACGTCAATATTGCATACGGCTTCTGGAACCACTTGATTTTTGCTCCACCCCTGATCGCAAATGCAAGCGTATCCAGCATCATTATTCGCTTGAACGCAAGTTCCATGGCCACATAATTCTCCACTGGCGGCCTCCTCGCAACTGGCCTTGCGCATTCGGCAGTGAGAGCCATAAAAACCATTGCGGCACGAGCAGCTGAAAAGTCAAATATTAATGAGAGATCACCAAATAACATATTCAGCTCTTTAAAAAATTGATGAATCCAAATGCTCGCTATGAATAAAAGTCTCCAGTTTTAATCTTCGAAAAATCTGGCATAAGGTTAATACAATTTTTATCTCATAGATCACTTTGTATTGTGTTTTGAGAAGACTATGAAAGGGCAGAGAGTTTCAAACTTTGTGCAATATTTAAAGAAATTTAACAAACTTTCGTATACAATTTCTAACTTTTTTAATTAGACTTCCTAGAAAGATTCTGAGTACGCTGTTTTGTAACCCATTGAATTCTAGTAGAACAAAGTATAAGTTTCAAATGGCTAAAAATTAGGGTTGATTTAAAAAAATTTTTTTGCCCCATTTGCTTCCATATATGGAAGAAAGCCGTAACATCTTCGACAAGAACAATTTTAAAAAATCAAAGGTAATTTTCAGCCATTTCCAACTTGCACATTATTCTACTAGAGATCAATAGGCTACAAAACTGCGTACTCATAATCTTTCTAGGAAATCTAATTAAAAAGGCTAGGAATTGTTTACGAAATTTTTTTAAATATTGCACAAAGCTTGAAACTTGGATTTACACGGGTTTTGTTAAAGAGTACGATATTTCAGCTATCGAAATATGTCCAAAACAACAGGGCGATCGATTTTATTCTTGTAAAATGGGTTTTCATCTACAGGTGAGTTCTATATAAGGTATAATTTAAAATTTGTTTAATATGTTCAACTAATTAATATTTAATGAAATGTTCAAGTGAATTATTTTTAATAAAAACAGTTTAAAGAAATAGTCATAAGTCATATTCTTCATGTGTTTACGCTAGCCCCCTTCACCTTAATTATGTTTACTAATTAGAGAGTTTCACTTGCAGATGTCGCTGTGATCTAAGCGGGAACAGTTACTCGTTACTCGAGTTCCTTTTCCTCGAGTCCTGTTACCCGCCTCGGATGTTGGGTTTCGCCTTCTGTGAGCACCAACCACTCTCCCACTTTGGAAGAGAACTCCGAGCAATCAAGTAAGGTCCTCTAATTAATAATACATTTGATAACCTTTTGTTACAGCATTTTGTTATACTAAACATATATATGCAATGAAATGGCCGTCAGGCAATTACATATATGTATAAGCGAATGCGAATTTGCGAATCGTAATCAACCCTTGATGGACTTCAGAGATTCGGCACCTCCTCGACCCTCGTTTGCTGTGGAATTCAAGAGGAATTCCTGGACCCCAATTCCACCCCGTCCCGAACATGGTCCTTCGAGCCGGATAGGCTTGAAGTTTTTCGTGGTTGACCCACATTTGTTTAAAATAAAATAAAAGTGGAAAATTTTTGATAAACTGCCTAGTTGCCTTCATAAAGGAGAATTTTTTATCGCTCCCCGTTAACTCGATTTCATTTTCTTGTACACGACGAATCGTGTGCAATTAAACATATTTAAATATTTTTATTTTGCGCTCATCTGGTGAATACCGCCACCAACTTAAAATTATATATTGCATTCATTGGTGAAAACCGCCACTAACTTTGGGTTTGGGGCAAATTGACACGTTTCTGGCAGCAAAATTTTTTCTCTGGTATTTCCGTGTAAATACCATCCAGAAAACCAGGTGAGTGAACCAAATTTAGGTTGGAGCACCTTTTTCTACACCTGGAGCAGGAGCAACACATTTGGCCCCAACAATGGGAGTAGCGGCGAGAATAGTAAGTATATTTGGAGTACTAATGGTGTTTATTTGTAGCAGCGGAGCACAAAGCGAGGGCGTTTAATAGAGTGAAGAAATTTCGCCAGCGCTCCAGCATCCGCAACTGCAACCACAATCTTGCCAGCGCTCCAGCTAAAGCCGCAGCAGCAATATTACCGCCAGGGCTCCGGCGGTAAGTGTAAAAACACAGGTAAAGTGCAGTGAGGTTAAAAGTCAGCCCGGCTGTATTGCCAGTTTGTCGAGGAGCATGTGCTGAACGCCGGCACTAAGTGCCACACAGTTAGGCGTCAGTGCGCCTTGCTGCACGGCCCCTACCCAGGCCGATAGTTTTTAAGAGCGCCGGCTGTATTGCCATTGAGAAGGCGCAAGTGCTGAACGCCGGCCCTAGGTGCCATCAGTCAGGCGTTCAGTGCGAAACCAAGCCTCCCCCAGAGGTCCACTGTGGGGGTAATAATCTTCATCAAGACCCCCACCAGTGGCCCAACCCGGGAGCAACAATTCTCATCAAGGCCCCCACCAGTGGTCCACCGCGGAAGCAAATTTCCAACAAGGGTCCCACCAAGTGGTCCAACACGGGACCAAATCACCAAAGCATGGGCCCCACCAGCGGCCCCACGCGGGAGCCTAAAGACTTCAACAAGGCCCCCACCAAGTGGTCCACCGCGGGAGTATAGCCAACAACAAGGCCACAACCAAGTGGTCCACCGCGGGAGCAAATCCAACAACAAGGCCCCCACCAAGTGGTCCACCGCGAGAGCAAATTGAAAAACCAGGCTCCCACCAAGGGGTCCACCGCGGGAGCAAGACCCCTACCAAGTAATCCACAGTAAGCGGCTAGATAAGGTAAGCCTTTCAATTTGCCACGTATATTCGCGAAAAACGACTGGGAAAGGGGTGCAGAAATTGCAAAAGGTTGTGCGTGAGTACCATTTCCACGCCTTCTATATATATATATATATATATATATATATATAAGGGGTGGTCCACTTGCAAACAGCGTTATTAGATTTATAATAGAAAGCCATAAATTTGAAAAAACGACTACGACAACAAGTATCATTTAAATTGAATCTTTTCCATTATTACGTGAAAATTTGGATAAATAAGAGCTTTATAAAATTGTAACATAACATAACATGACATAAGATAACATTAGCAGTCTATACGACCTAAAGCAGTTTTCTAAGTTCATCAGAAGATGTATATGTAGTTTTGAAAGTTTATAAATAAGTGTGATAGCGACTTTTGGAAGAAGAGTTAACATTTGATGCTATTTTTTTCGGAATATAAAAAGATTTTGCACTGTGTTGTTAGTGGACATGAAACTACTTTAAATACTGGTACGTAATCCACCAAAAACTAAAAATCAAAGAAATTTTATATAGCGCACTTTGCAAGTGAACTACTCATATATATACATAGTTTTTTTTTTTTTAATAATACGTACATATATTTCCGAAAATTAAATGGTCTCGGGGTACGTATAAACTGTTTTTCGAGAAATTCGACCGGTAAAGTGGTGGAGGAATAGCGGGAATTCTTTTGGAAGAAAAAAAAAAAAATAAAAATTAAGAAAGAAGAAACTAAAAGTGTGCAACGGATTGCGGGATTCAGCATCCCCCTGCATTGAAAAATTATCAATTGATAAAACTAACCAACTTATAGTTAGCTTTTTGGCGAGATTTCGATTAATACCTCACTTTTAATTAGCTATGACAAAACCAACTTAAAGTGAATTGTAAAGTCTTGCAGGAGTCATGCAGACGCAATCGGGAGTTGGTTTTCTTTACAGGTTTCTATTAAATATCCTCATACAAAAATTACTTTCAATACACTTTCTTTCTGAACTTCGCAGATTCTTTTTCATATTCAGGACAAATAAAAGGAAGATCGAAATTTTATACTATCATTTTGAAGTTATGTCTGACGGTGTTCGAATATGGGGCCACCCAGAGCAGAATATGTAAACAAATATGAAATGTAATAAAATAAAGTAAAAATAAATAAGTAAATAAAAAAGTAAAAAAACAAAAAAATATTTTGTTTTTCTTATTGATATTTTATGTCCAAAAGTAGTTAGTTACAAGTTAGTTGACATGTAATGCAGAGGTATCCAGGTCTGACTTTTTTGCGGCCATCGCCCCACAAAAGTAGTTAGCTTTTTTCGAACAAAATACACAGTTAATAGTTAGCACTAGTGTTCGCGTAAACAGACTAAAGTTAGGTATAAGCTAACGTCACTCCCTGCAGGGCCGTTACGAAAAAAGTGTGTTTGTTTTGGAAGAATAAATCCAATAAAGTCGTCGAAGTTTCGACAACCACAATTATTAAATTTTGTAACGTTTCTTTGTTCCTATATAAATTAAATAAAGACTATTTATACATTTTTTCTGAGTTTTCCTACGGTTGTCAATTTTACGTTTTATACCGCGCTACCTTTAAAGTGTTTGACGTGATTTTTAAAATATTGAGAAAAAGTGGTTGAGGCAGAAGGCCCGTATATGGACCACATTATAAGAATCACTCAGGTTGTGCGGTACACTGAGAGAAAGCTGTTTGATATAAGCTTAGTGCAAATAACCCGTGGAACTTTGCGAGCCATAATTAAGTTTGTTTGAATTGACCAAATAATCGAATATAGTTTTGTATATATTGACTCAAGTTCTGGAGATCCGAAAGGAGGAACTGAAGGCGCTCTGGCACAAGGTGAAGGATCCGTTCGATGACTACTCGAAAAAGGTGTCGGTTGACGAAACAGGTCAGGCTGCACTTCGTCTGGCGAAGTGTGGATACCAGGATTTCTACTCAGCATACTTGACGTGCGGTGTATTGATGGGAGAGACGGCTCATAACCTGATATTCACGCAGCAAAGTAGTTCGACAGTTAATCCGGTAAATCATGAGATTGAACCCCCTGACTGCTCGGGTATCCATTTACCTCCATGTGATACAAAAATTTTTTACGGTGATAACATGTCTTGGCCATCTTTCCGCGATTTGTTTCAATTTCAATTTCAATTTATTTGTTTTGTTTTTGCAAATAGTAAGGCTAAATAAGTCTTGTGTCAATACATCTTCTTGTAATTTAAAATAACAAAGTTGGTATACATACACGCAACTTAAAATTTAAACTATTATATCTATAGACTAGGGCTAATTATTAAGAGTGAGAAAGAGAAAAAGATTGGGAGGAGGGGGGAATATAGGTCAGAAGTAGTTAGAAACTGCAGTTTTAAAACACCTTGCTTGTTTTGTTAACTTTATTT